ATCGTTCCATTTTTAATTTATTCTACCCATAGACATAGAAATCCGAAAGGTACGCCATTTCCCATTATTTTGAACGTTGAAAAATTCCTATATATCATTATCCTATATAGTCATTATCCTATATATCATTATCCTTCGTATTCTTATTCAGACCTTCAACATATTTCTCAAAACTATTTTAAGACTGAAGAATTCATTCTTGTATGCTTAATAAAAGTTTTTACGTTTTCTTGTTTAGGATAATATTTAACTCAGATGTCTTATAAAACTGATGTGCTATGTTGTGCTTTCACGTTAATTCTTTTGCTCGAAGTTACACTGAAATAAGCAAACGTAAAACAAGCTTCCTTAGAAAAAGTCGTAAAAAATCTGAAATATTCTTCTATTTTAAAATCCGATAACTCAGATCGAGTGAAGCAAATAAAAGAATAAAGTAGTTTCGTTCTGTTTTCCGCATGTCTTTGTGGTGCAAATGGAAGCACATTCAACGCGTATTCGGGATGCCTAGGGTTCGAATCCCGGCAAGGGCATTCCGCATTTTTCACGTCTCCAGCATCAAAAATCCTAATAACTCTACAGTAGAGAAAGAACTAAAAGGTGGTAAACGACAATTCGTCACCACCACAATTTGGCGATTGGGTCCCCTTATCCCCATCCGCCTCTTAAAAGGGGGAGTATGTAAAGTATTTTCTCCCTCTTTTCCGCATGCCTTCGGGATGTAACTGGAAGCACATTCGATGCGTGTTAGGAAGGTCCAGCGTTCAAATCCCGTCAAGGACACTGCACGTTTTTCACATCTACATCATTCAAAAACTCTAATGAACCCTCGGAGCCATTAATTTATCACTACGCAACTGATGGCTATTTTGTAATCTAAGGAAAGGGATGACGTAGTGAAAACTGCTCTTTAACAGAAATTCAACTATTTCTCTAGCAACAATTTATCTCTCTATTTCTTTTGTAACAATTTCACTGAAATGAATTGAATAAAAATGTCCTCCATTTATTCTTGATTAGAGAATTCTCAATTAACAGTACTAAATAGAGAAAACAAATCACTAATTTGTTTTAAAATGTGCAATACCAGAATGCAATAAATGCAGTAACTATATCGAAATTTTCCAAATTTTGATAAGAAATGTTACAGAGGAATACAATTATTTCGCAATACTAATCTTGAAAAAAAAGAACTTTATTTACAAAAAAAAAAAAACATATTAAAAGACATATTAAAGACATATTAAAAAATATATTAAAGCGACAAAGACAAGATGCGAGAGAAATGTGGGTAAAATTCATTCAGGTTTCTCGTATTATAAATTTAGATTAAAAATATATCCTTAATAAAAGAAAACTTAAATAAAGCTATAAACGTTAAAATAAGAAACAACATTTTCAAGAAATAACGACAACAAATGTTTTGCCAAGATTTTGAAAGATTTTAGCATTTTTATTTTCCTGCATCATGTTTATATTATAATGTTTCTTAAAACTATGCTGCATTGAATTTTTATATCAGTATTTTAAATTACCATTTTGACGCAGTTTCGTTGAATGCTATGATCAATGCAAAATGTTTTCTTAATGTAATTTTGTTAAACTATCTGAACCACTCTTTAGTTTAACTGATTAGTGATGCAAATGCTTTAATCTTTACACTATAGGGTTAAACACACATATCACGCAGTAATAAATTACTTAACAAACTTAAAAATGTTACTTACATAATGCGAAAATATTCAGTCTTCTCAGTTGCATCAAAACGTTGCAGCATTTAGAGTCAACTTAAGATAAAAAATAAATTACAAAAGTTTAGTGTGATCAATAAAAATATGCAACGAAATTTTGAAAGAAGCTGGTAGGATTAAATAAAATACTGTGTATTTGGGGGGACTTGTCGGCAGCTACAAATCAAGAAGGATTGAAGCAAAAATTCACAGCATTCCACACAAAAAATGATATTTTAAATTAAGTAATTATTAAGATGTTACTCTAAGTTCTTTTCATAAATTCATACTACAAAAAAATGGATCAGGATTTCAGATTTCCTATAAAAATTGGAAACTGAAATAAAACCAAATACTGCAGAGACTTAGTTGTAATTAATTCTTGTTTTCTGTCATTACTAATGAAGATATACTGTACCATTAAACTTTTACTAAAAAAATTATCATATCTTATAGAAAACCCCTAACTTAATAAAGTAACTTTGGTTTCTTGTGAGACTTTCAGATAACTTATCGTCCAGTCTCCGTAAAGCAACAATAGACTCAGATTTAAAGTAACCGTTATATTAAAACCTAAACATAGCAAATGCACAGGTAGTGCTTACAAGTAATCCTCGCTGTTTGCGGGATTTAAGCTAATATAAAATGCAAAGTATCATCTTGTATAATTAAGTATTTTAGAATTTAAGTATTTAGAGCTCGAAATTCACAAAGCCAATTTTTATCAAGCATTGCTCAGACTTCTCTTTGAATGTGCGAGTAATAACGGTATAAAATGTTAAGCCGAACTAAGTATTCTACGAGCTCGGGTAGGAAATATCACGTAGATTAGTGACGCTATGAAAACTCTGTCGTTAGCTAAATGAACTCCGTAGTAGTTAATTTGCACCCTGGTGGGAGCTGACGGAAGTAGTACAGATATAATAATAACATAAGCGGTTAATTTTCGTAAGACCGTACAGTCTTTTTTCTTAACCTCTTCTCCGTCCGTAACGCATCTAGCGCGTTCAAGTGAAACTTCGGCAGGGCGGCCGTAACGCGCCTCAAGCGTTCTTCTACATTTTAAAACTTTTAAACGTTTAAAACGTTTCTAAATATTTACTTGTTTGAGTTTTTATTTTTGTTTGTTCTAATACGTCCTAGAGGGCAGTACTAATCGGGCATTCTCTTTCTAAGTGAATTTCTTCCCGTGTTTTATGAATATTCGCGCCATGTTACATAAGATACAAGACAGTGAGAGATCTTCAACGTCTACTCAGCAGAAAAAGAGGAAGAATGAGGTTGTGAATTGGAAAGACAAGAAAGATATACGTTTGATGAGTACAGTCCATAACAACTCGATGATTGATGTTGGAACATTAAAAAAGAACTGTAAAAAAAAAAAAAAAAAAAAAAAAAAAGAAAAACAATAAAAGTAAAAGATTACAACAACAAAATGGGAGGAGTGGACCGCCTTGATCAGATGTTATAAAATTATCCTGCTGTTAGAAATAAGCAGAGATATTATTTTTCCATTATGCTTTATTTCCTTATAATTTTATTTAATATTCATTGACGTCATTGACGTCAGTCATCCACGTCATTGACAGTATGGAACGTTATGATGTACAGAGAAAGCAACATTACACGCTACGAAAAACAGACGGCCGCTGGGCCGGGGGGGGGGAATTTTCGCGGACAGGAGAGGACGGCGAGCGAAAGGGTTAAAAAGTAATTTTCCTCACCCTTTCTTTTTGGAAATCCTCTCGAAAAAGATGTTTACAATTGAACAGAAAGTCCAGGTAAGCTGTCTCAATCTTGCACAAAAAGTTAAAAAAATATACTGAATCTTGCTTTAAGTGATAAAATTACAATACAAATGCTACCAAAGTCTGAAAGAGGGAATAAAAAAAAGATATTTTTTCTTTCCTCTTTCTCTAGTATTGGCAGGGCTTAACAAAGACAAAACAGGAAAAGAATCAAGGTTGCTAATATTACTATGCTAGAACGCCCATTGTTCAGAGTCTAAGAAAATAAATTAAAATTCTTTGAACAAAGAATCATAAAAACCTAACATTTTTTAAAATGTCACGAAAGTAAAAAAACACCACCAAACTAGCCTCATGCTTGGATTGAATGCTTCAAAAAGGAGCATATGCAGTTTTAAACAAAACCTTAGTTATTTACATAGCTGTAATTTTCACACTCGCTTTAGATTTAGCCTGTTTTCTGATCCTAAAGAATAAATTTTCAGTTCAATCGTTTATTCATTCATTTACTTAAGAATGATGTGCCGTTTTTCTCAAATATTTGGAATATATCGAAGTTAAATTCACCTAACTGCTTTGTATGTTAAATATTTCTGTTATTTAACATACAAAGCATACCAACCAGGCAGCAGTGTTCTGCCTGGTTGGGAAGGCTAACATTTTTGTGGAAATACTCATTGAATCTGAATGGGAGTTCTAAATATAAGGCTTTTATTAGTTGTACCTGATTCGTAGTATTTAGTAAACAAATAAAAACGTGATGACATTAATGTTTCCTCTTGCAAATGGCTTTTATATTGAGAAGAACTACGTGTTTATGATTAGCCTGGGTTAGAAAAATATGACGTTGCTGAAAGTAACTTTCTCAAAACGTATCATTAATTATGTATTAAATGTAAAATACATAATTATTAAAAACTTAAGTTGAAAATTTATTCAAAATGGAAGTAGCATTTTTGAATATCAAAATATAAAAACAAAAGAAGCATAACAAAAATGTTCTTCTGTATAGACTTAATTTGCTTTCACAACTATAAAAGCATAATAATTAACTTCTTACAGAAGTAATGTTTATGATTATTGTCTCATGAAAAGATTATTAATAGTATAATGATTGATGGTCAAATGAGATAATTTTAAACAGGGAAGTCAAGAATTAAAACTAAGAAACTGCACAATGTCGAATTAGCATACGATACCCATACTTGGGTATAAAAGCATACCAACTTGAAACGCGAGTTCATGCGATTGTTTTCATAAATTTATGACACAATTTATTTTTTCTTAACACTAAATCTTCAACAGCTTCATATAAAATAAATTACCCTAATAAAAATTTTTGATTTCAGCAAAAATTTCCAAATCGCCATGCATTTACTTAAATACAAATTAATTTAAATATATACATTGAGCTATCTTCTTAAATACTTCTTAACAGCACTAATATTTAATGTTACAGTCGTTATGTTCCAAAGTCGAATTATCATTACACTAAGCATCATAAAGCGATAATATTTTTTTCCAGGCCCCATGTATGTACGGAGCGCCAGATGGAGTCAGTCAAAGTACAGAAACCATGTACGAGAGCATACACGCAAATGACCAAAGTTTGGAAACCGAACTGCGGCCACCACAGCTGGTGTGTTACTTACGAGCCTAGGTAAGTAGGTAAAGAATCTTGTAAATAGAAATGTGTATAATATTTATTACTTTAATGGTTTTCATGCTTCCATTTTCAGTGATTTTTATTCAAGTGCATATAATTTGGAGAAAGCTTGAGAATCTCTTAGATGTTTAAGAGAAATAAAAGTAAAATATGCTTCAGTAGCTGATTTCAAAGTAAAAGCGCTTTCTTTATTTGTCGCAGCATACGTTTTAAATCTATGTATCATTTAGCAAATTCAAGCGTGTTATTTTTCCGTTTGAATAGTTCTAATCACTGAAGAGTGTCTAATTAAAAGTTGAGCAGACTTGTGTTAACAGTAAACTTATAAGTACAAATAAATATCTGTTGAGTCCGACTACATTAAAGAGATAATAGTTTAATAGCTACAATTGCTTTGTGTAGAAAGTGCTAAAAACTTTTAAAAAAAACAACCTTGATCAGCAAGATTTGTTAGCGACAATAAAATCCCACACTGGAAATAGAATAATGAAATGTTACAGTACTTTTTATTTAGTTTATTCAAGACATTTTTTAAGAAATGTATTCTCTGAATTAAACTTAATCAACACATTCAGTTAAACCGGCTACAATAAAGTACATGAGTATTATTTTTTTTTCCTCATATTTTTCACTTGCACATCAAAACCTGAACCTACTAAAGATCCCCCCCCCCTACCTGGAAAGAGTATACTTCCCGTTTAAGAGAGGTTTCCTCAGTTCCTTTGAACTGCCCCACAAGGGTGAAAAAAGGACAGAAAAATACCTCCTTAGAAACAATCAAATAAAACAGCCGAAAATGTTTCACCCTTAACCCGGCAAACATACTAAAAGAAATTTACTCTCGTTTTCCAGAAGAAAGGACGAAGCCGGGAAAAACTGTGTCTAAAAAAAACTGCATAGCTTTTCCCCGTAAAATAAGAGCTAAAAGTAAAAGATAAAAACTAACCCCGAAATATCCACGAGATTTTTATTATAAAAGCTAAATCATATCCTTCTCTGTTTGCTCGAAACTCAAAGTTCCAGTCATATCATAAAGGTAAAGTTTTCAGATAAATTGTGTATAAATTTTAAATATAAAATTAATAATTTCATTTTTAATTGTCAATATCACACAGAAAATAACCCGTTTCAAATGACGCTTAAGCTAGGGAAAACTACTATCTCCCAAAACTTCAGGTTTAAAACTTGAAAGAAATTCAAACTTAACATTGAGAGAGTTATATTTCCAAACGAGGTATTTAATATTTTCCCCTTTTATTAATTAATAACATTAAGTGCTTTAATTTTTATAGAATTAATTTAAGCAAATTAAACTCCCAAATTTGATATATGAATGAAACTTACTGCGAAACGTTTAATAATCCTATTTCAGATAGATTTAGACCATCGCTCACATGGGGTTGCTTTGATAATACCTTCATTGTAAAGACCTCTAAACTAAGTTTTGATTGTCTGCTCTAGAATGATACTTACCCAAAATTCGTTATTAAAATTGGGTACTGGAAAATGTCACATCCATATTATGTCGTTATTAAACATAAACCTCAATCGCTTTTGAGTAAAAATGGAATCGTTACAAATCGAATGACTATTTTAACTACTTTCAGAAACCTATAGAAAGACCAGAAAACCATATACATTTTGCCATACTAAGGAAGCTTTACTACTCTTTTGCCTCAGTATAATTCAGAAATTTGAGAATTTTTAAAAACATATAAACAATATTCATACTGAATGTGATAAAATATAAGTAATCTATTATTCCATTATAATGATGAACGTTAAAAGTGCTTTATATAATAAGTATGTATTTTTAGAATATCAGATTACGGCAATCTATATTCGTAATTCAATTATTGGGAATGTTTTATAGACAAATAAAAATTTAATTCAGATGTAATTTATTTATACTAATTACAAAACGGAAACTTAAATGAGGAAAAGAAAACAAAATAGACGATACTTGAAACTTTCTCAAGAATATTTCCATAATGGAGAGTAGTATAATTCAAAACACCCCCTCAATGAAATAATCCAGGATAAATGTTTCTAAATTAATTAATTGTCAATATTATGAAGGTACTAAACGGGGAAGTTTTACGATATGCATGACTAAGCAACTTTGCTGAAACAAATGCCCTTTAAAACTAAGAAATGAGCGCTTTTTCCTCTGAAGTATTTTAAAAATTAATGTAAGGATATTAAATAAAATTTGTTAAAGTTGTAAAAGATAAAAATAATAAAAAAATTGCGCAATTGAAAAGTAGCACTGTTTATTTAGGAAACATCTGTGCTAAAATCTAAACTCAGGGATGCTTGTCGATATTTCACGTATGCAAAAGGATTGATTTCAGTGCCAACCCAAAGAAACCGAATACTAGATTCTTTTAGATGGCCAGCAGGAAGACGACTAAGCGTCCATTGTAGTGTCATCCATAAATTCAAGAATCAACTCTCAGAAAGTGTAGTATCGAAACGACCAACTTTATATCATTCATCGGTGAGTTCTTCACTAACAGTCTCTTCCTGGCTATTTCAACAAGACCACGACATCTCAGCTTATTACTATTATTCTAAGTAATTTAATAATTTTGTGACATTAGTAGTCATTTCGTGACGGAAAAAAGTAGAATATCTGCTCCTTAGCAAAAAGACGAATGATAGATTAGATGTGAGAAGAAACGCTGTTTGTTTTCCTGTTGCTCCACCGCAAGATCGCAGTGACTGAGATGCGCAAGAAAATGTGGGAGCAGAGAGTACTGGTGCTCAGTACATTCATAGATGAATCCAGGTGGTGCACTTTACAATGTTCCTCACCTAACGTTATGACATATAAAAAACGAGGAATATGATGCAAGCAGTCGAAGGCTGTTAAATTTTTTCCCTTAAACTCCTGTGGCATTTTGAAGGAATTAAATTGATCAATGGATACTGGTATAAGATGATAGTGTTAGTAAATTCAGATTTTAAATAGAAACTGCTGTATTCAAATTGCTACAATGACTGATATCATTGTACATAACATATAGACACATTAAAAATTTGAAGTATTCATTTATTCAAATACCACGATAAAAATTAACTTGAGCACCTAATAATAAAAAGTTTTAGTGATGGACGCAAGATCATAGTTCCAATGTGATAATTTGAAACAACATAATCTAATATAAGCGACCAAATTTGAATAAATGAAAGTTAAATTTAATTAGTTGTTATCAAAAATACAATTTTAGAAGTATATTATTAATTTTTTCCTGGAAGTTTTAATACCATGAAAATATTTATTGCCTCTTCAGCTTTAAGACAAAAATAAAACATTTTGGCATAAGGAAAATTTACGACGACGGTATTTATTTGTTTAAACCCATTACGTTTTAAAAAAGATTTTACACCGAGTTTATTATACTTTTGTTAATGTGTGTTTGGTTTTCAGTTTGAATTTGTTGCTTGGCAGATGATTGCCTGGCACATTATCAACTATGTGTTTACATAAAAAATAAACTATATTTTTTTGCAATTTTCTTTTCGCTTACGCTTTCATTTAGGAATCATAACGTCTTTTTGAATCACCTCAACGTATTCTTTGTCTTTCTTGTCAAATGCAAGTTTCCAAAGTAAACTTACTTCGCATTATTCAGAATTTGCAGACACAGAATAAAGTATGTTTCTCTTACTATAATAATACAGAATAAAGTTCTTTCTTCTTTACTTTTGCTTCAATAATAGTGAAATAGCATTGCACTGAAATAACAAATTTTATTAATTAGAAAATATGACATACAATCTAGAACTTCCCTATTTAAGGAAGTAAAATATATTACCGGATAGCACCACCAGAGGGAATAATTTAGACGACTGCTGCATGGTAGAGTTCAAGTTATTGCATACTGTGTAAACCACAGAGTTAAACTAATTATTAAACTTTAATATTCTATGGTCCTAGATATACAGGCTGTAGCTAGCACATGTTTTTTTAACGGTGCATATGTTAGATGTAAATTCTTTTGGCTTACTGGTTAAATATTTCTAGCTTTCTTTGTTATCCAGTTTTGCTCAATGAATCGTTTTAAGAGTAGATGCAAGTATCACTGTTTGAGCAGCAAGCTTCTCTCTGTCGCGTTAGAATAAAATTCTAGTTCTTGTGTTGCTTCTTGTATTAGTAAATTATATTAACTTTATTCGAAGCTGCTGTGATGAAATAAGTCATTTGGCAGAGAAGTGCATGGTAGTTGAATTGAAATCAAGTTTCATTAATCGTTGCACCAATTTGTAACTAAAAATAAATTTTTAACTACATTTAAATTTTTAGAATTGATGTATCATAATCAAGGAATAAACTTAATTTTGAGCAATTTTTTTCAAGCATATTAAAGCATTAGAAATAAAATTCATTTCAGAATATTAATCCTAAAATTTGAATTTCAAAATCAGTGAAACATTCTTTTGAATGAAATAAAAATAGGTGAATCAGGAATAATTTTAAAACAATATATATGGGATCTGACTTTGGCACAAATTTGACGTTAATCCATTTACCCCGTTAATTTTGTTTTCCGCGTTGATTTCTAGCTCTTTCGGAGTTTAGTAGTCCCCTGCTGCCATCTATTGTTCGACAGATTAGTTAGATTTCTGCCAAAGGCGAAGATAAAACACGTGAGTAGAATTGGCCATGAAAGAATTAAAAGTAGACAGAGTTCATGCAGAAAAACGGAGTAATTGGGTAATCGAAGGAAAAAAGAAATATTTATCTCTAAATTTTTATTTTAGTTTAAATTTATCTCAAAAGCATTTCCGCTGGTAATTATCTGATTTGGCCATTTCCCAGACATGTGTTTCCTTTTCCAACGTAATAAGTCTTGTGCAACAGTCAAATGCACAATTATTTTTTTTAATATTTTATGACAGACTATGCCATGCGAGGAAACCTTATACTTATATTGCTTTGGAAATTTAAAACGTGCTTAGGCATTGATTAAGTACATCTGCATATATTTATATACAGATCAGAAAATGGATAAAATTTAATTAATAATCACTATTAATGTCGCGAAAATTGCTACAAAATTAATAAAATAATATATTAAGAAAAAGGTAAAATTATTATATAATTAAAATAAACCTAACGTGGTAAATTTCCTAACAGGAAGGAATAAATTAAAGCAATTGAATTAAAACCTTGGTAAACAAAACTGAAAAAAAAGGAACTGATACAAAATAAAATAAAATTCACATAATATTAATTAATACTTGATAAATCTGTGGTCTTTGTCAAGAAGCAAACGAAAGAATTATTAACAGATTCACATTTCTGAATTACATCTGGTAGAATTGTAAGACTAATCAAAGAATTGTTAAATTTAAAATAACTGAATTAAAATTTAAACTAATAAAACAAACTATACAAATATAACTATACAAAATTTAAAGTATTTAATACTATTTTAAGAAACTTACTTTTTTTAATATTATAAGGATAATATCTGCTGCTATCTGAAATCACTCTTTAAGATACAACCTACTCCACAGTGAGAAAGAAACTTTATGAATTTTAAATTTTAAAACTAATAACTAGGAAACCGAAATGACAGAATATTTCCTATTGCCTCTGCTAATTAGATTTTTTTAATAAAATTAAGTTCTTTTACGATTTATACAATACAATAATTTTTGCATTTTATGCAGTCAAAAATAGTATTGTTTCAATCTAAACAATACTATCAATTTAATTTTCATTTTTAATGCTTTGAATATTTTTAACCCAAAGGGCTTAGAAGGGCTATTATTTTCGTTTTGGCATTTTGCGTTGGTTCACTATAAACGTCGGTTCACTTTTCAAATTGTTACCACCAAATATTAGACAGACCTGGGTTATATTTAAAGAAATTAATAATGAAGAATCTCCATAAATGTATACAAATTTCTCGCATTGTGATAAAACAACGGTACCTAGAGCCATCAAATTTTGAATAATGTATAATCCTCCACCTGAATATTGGACAGCCTGGAATTCCCGAATTTTGATTTTAATTTGTTTTATTATCGATTTCATATTTTGTAACACTTTAACGAATTTTTATAAACAAACTCAACGATTTCAAAGCGAGCATTGGCAATACTGTACTGCAAGAAAAAACATCTTTATCTCCAGCGCCCGAGACTGTGTATCGGAAAATCTAAAGATATACTCATGCGGTATTACTGTTGAATTGAATTTTATGGTTTAAGTGCGAAGAAAATGATATTTAATAAATAAAGGTAGCACACAAAACGTTAAAAAAACTCCCCTTTGGGCATAATGTAAAATCTGAAATCCTTCAGATTTTATTACATTTTTTATTTTGTTTTTTATTTTATTTCATTTCTGTTTTCCCATGTTTCTGAAAATTCTATCTACAGCACTGAAAATGTTTCCATAAAATTCTGTACCTTTTGAGAAACTTTCTATTTAAAAGTTGTTTAATAGTTGTTTAATATTTAAAAGTTGTTTAATTAATATCTATCTAGAGCTGTGCTTAAAGAGACGCGTACATAAAATGAGCAAACATTTTCGAATGCCATACATAATACTTTAGTTATAACGTAAACATTACTGTGCCATGCTTCACTTAAAACTACAATAACGACAGTGCATTTATTTGTGTACCTGTTATATTTTTATATTTCTTTCTTTTCAGAACGGTTTATTACTCAGGGTTTACTGAATCATACGAAACACAATATAATACAGTTTCAAAATGTTGTAAAGGTTGGACACAGAAGAATGATGAACCTGGATGTTTTTACCGTAAGAATATTTTATTGATTTAGTGTATATCTAATCATAAATACAACTTTATTTCATACTTAAAAGTATAATAGTGTAAAACTGGTTTATGTAAATTACTTTATTGCGCTTTATAATTCAATGATGACCGTTTACAAAATTTACTTTTAACCATTGCTTACCAGCACTTACTGAACTCGGATCGTGCTAGTTCAAACGTACGAGGGCAAGTCAAAAATTATCCCCAACGTGGATGTAAATTTTGTTGCAACACAAACAGGAAGCTCACGTTATTATTATTTTCCAGTATAGTCTTCTTGCTTTTCAATGCACTTGGTCCATCGTTGCACAAGCTTCCTGATGCCCTCAGAAAAGAAACGTTTTTGGCTGTGCAGCGAGCTACGCGTGTACCGCGGCTTTCACTTCTTGGTCTGAGGTGAATCGAAGTCCCTTTAAAACCTCTTTGATTTGACCAAACAAGTGATAGTCAAAAGGAAGAAGATCAGAACTATACGTAGGATGAGCCATTACTTCAAACTTGAGTTTCCGGAGCGTTTTAGCAGTCTGGGCAGCAGCATGTAGACGGGCATGGTCATGCAACAACACAATACATTTCAACAGCACATCCCCCGGCGTTTACTTCGAATTGCAGGCTTTAGCCTGTCAGTAAGCCATCTGACTGAAATGCGCACTATTTATTGTTGTGCCACTTTCCTGATAATGTTCCAGTACTGCACCTTGTGCGCCCTCAAAATCGTTAAGCATCAGTTTTCCTGCGAATGGTTGGGTTTTGAACTTTTTCTTGCTGAGTGATTGTGAATGTTTCCATTCCATACTTTACCGTTTACTCTCTGGCTCGTAATGTTGGATCCATGTTTCGTCACCAGTGATGATTCTAAGAAGCCGTTAGTTACCATAGTGATCCAAATGGTTTTGTCAGATGTCCAAGCGCGTTTATTTATGCAAAATTGTGAGTTATTTTGAGACCCATCTTGTACATACTTTATGAAACCCATGTCTTTTGTGGATAATTTCGTAAGCAGAGCCATGACTAATTTGCAGACTATGGGCCACTTCATCAATAGTCACCCATCTGTCTAACAGAACCATGTCACATGCACGATCAATGTTGTTATCATTTGTGGCCGTAAATGGTCATCCGGCTTCTGCCTCATGCGTATTGCGGCCTCTGACACGCTGCATTCAGACGGCGATGCAAATGTCACAGATGCATTTTCACAAGGAATAAACACACCTGCGAGACACAGGGTCTAAGGCGCACCCACTTAGAAAAGCTAAATTTTCGCATGCGTTGAATTTGTGTATACAGATTTCTTGCTCTGTTTTCTCATTCAGGTTTCGCGCGTTCGCTCTGCTTGGTCGACGCTTATCCCAAGTCGGCATAAAGTTAAAAACTTCGAACTTTATGCCTAACGCCAGCTCGGCTTAAACCACTTATGCCCTTTATAGAACGTAGCTTGATACACCTTCTGACCACAAAACCTGGATCACTTCTCGTTGTTCCTCTTTCGTGCAAACTTCTAATGGGGCGACCATGAGCTATGTGGAACAAAAGGAAGACAAATGTAGGAATTAGGATCAAACTTTTACGCCATGACCACAACAGTATGAAAATAAAATAAACGTACACAGAGCTCAGTATGAATAATGTAAGAATAGTCATGTCCAAATTGCGGATAATTTTTTACTTATCTTCGTGTCGGTGATCTGCATGTTTCACCAATTAATTGGCAATAATAATAATGTTAATAACTATTTATGCAAATATTTTTCTTTTAAAACATAAAACACTGCATGTAAAAATAATTGCATAAAATACTGCGATAGCCTACAGAATTGAAAATAAAATTGTTATTTTCTCATAAAAAAGACTTAAAATTTAAAATAAATAAAATTTTTAAAATAAAATAAAATTTTTCCAACGATAGACTCAAGAACTGACTCAAAAGTATGTGTCTTCTTTATCAAAATCCTTCTCTTTAACGGCTTAATTTATCTTACCTAATTGCATACATCTGTTTCGCTTACGTTAATTTTTCGTTACATATAAAATGTAGCTGTCTGTTGTAGTACGTATAAATAGGGGGTAAACACTTCATGTATAAATGAATACATTGCTGGTAATAATTGGGAATTAAGTTCAGATACAGTTATACTATAATACGATCATTATAAAAAATACGGTTTTGTAAGAGTTGAATTCAAAAAAATGAGAAAGATATTCTCCCTAATAATTAGCATAAATGAATATAAACTTTCATTGCTGACGGTAATTTTGTTGAAACGCGGAAAGCACTGCTAAGACGCCTTAGGAGTTGCTGCTAAGACCCGTGGTATTTAAAGTGCTTGGTCAAAAATACAGAGGTGGAGCTCGAAACAAATTTCTTACTCCTTCGACGAAAATGGGGTAGAAGTTAGGTTGATTCCAAAGTCTATATGAAGAAAATTTTTGGAAGATTCAGACAAAACATAAATTATGGAATGAATTAGCTTGAATAATAAATCTAACCTTCGAGGATTAAAGATATGATTCTTATCCCATCAGCGGAAAGTTATGTTGCACATTTTTACTTCTTCTATTTAACATATGGAATGTATTAAGTTATCATAAATTTCATTAATCGGCGAGTTCACCCAAATATATTGTGATTACCAATTAACAAACTAAAATTCTCCTGCGTAAAAGATGGTCTACCCGAGTTTCATTCAGACAGCATTTATGAATTCCTTGGGAATGCGGTTTTTTCTATAAAGACATAGAATTATCTAATTACATCTGATTTCATATCTAAAAATATTGGAAATACTACAAGGAAGTAAATAAAAACATATATAAATTATTTTGTAGGGAGATAGAACAACAGAAATCTAAAAGATATCATGTTTCATGATCGTAAACAAATAATGTATACAAACTTTTTTGAACTGCGAATGATTTAAAATAAATTTCTGTAAAATTCTACGTAATATCATTAATTTAAATAACGAAAAGCATTCCTACCTCCGCATCTTATGCAATTCTAATAATACGATAATACAATATTTTTTTAGTTTTTTTGTTTTTTAGTTTATTAATTTTATAATTTACTTTTTTAATAATACAATATTTTTTAGAAATATTATGTGATTTCCAAGTTGTTACTAAAACGTTCCATCGTTATCGATTGACGAACAGGGTTTGAGATGACAATTCTGAGAACAGGACCTGTGGTACATAAATTTCAGACTAAGTGATTAGTTTTGTTATTATTATTATCAAGAAATTATTTATCTTACAAAAAGGTAACATAATTAAATTATGACTGAAATAGAGTGAATAATTAGATTATCACTGATCATCAGTGATTGTATTCTTAATATTTCTGTATTATGAGTATGTATTTTATGTTCTTCCTTCACGCAGATTTCGTCTTGGTCATACATTAATACTGATCTTGATTTGATTACATTATAATCGGAAAAATTCCGTTATGTATACTAACACAAATATTTCAGCGACTGGAGTTTAAATTGCATTCATTGAAGAATTATTAGCTGAATAACTTTCCTTCCTTTTTCCTAATTATGCTGCAAGAAAAGTACTCCTTTCGAAGAATAGCTGAAATTAAAACAAAATATTCCAATATGTGATTCCTTAGCCTAAATCCCCAATTTTACGTAAAAATCATAAAGAATTTGTCTTGGAAAAGCTTGATCTATTTATGAAATCTGTTTGACAGCAAGCCTTTGTATGCAGATGGGCAATTAATTGTTATCTGTAAAAGAGTTTCTAGCCATTTAACTACGAATGTATTCTTCTGGATGAAATCAAATGCCGCTTTGCTATGTATCAGGAAAGTGATCTAATAGAAAAGAAATAATTCTAGAAAGCTTACATATACCATAGCTACTTGCTCCCATAGTTATTTCTATTCCGTTTTAGTCAATTCTCCTAGCCCTTAATAGTGCCTACTTGTACCTACCTGTTTTAAGTAAATAAAGCTTTAAAGAGCTTCATATGTCGTGGGGAAAATGTAATGAAGGAAACTTAATTGTATACGTTCTGCAAAAATATGGTTTCTTTTCATGAGACATGCCTTAATTATGCATAACTAAAGGGAACTTCAGTTTTGGAGACTGACAAAGTCCTTGCGAATTCTTGTAAGAGTCTTCTTAGAGTTAATTTCTGATGTCTAAATAAACAAATATATTTTAACACTGCAAAACACACTCTGTTTTTGCAAAAAAAAATTTTAATTCATATATTTAGCAGTCTACGAGACTGCATAGACAATTGCATAATTATTAGATAAACCATTAGTAGATGATTGTAACGGGTAAATAAAACAGCCTCTAACCGTCAACTTACTCATATTTTTCTTATTTTTCAAAGTTAGTTCCTTTTCAGTAAAAATAAAAAATGGTATTAGGATCTTCATGTCTGAAAAGCAGACATTATATAGAAGGATATATATATAGACGGGTGCATAAATAGAATAAAATTAGCATCACTAGATACACCCAATATGAAATGAAGTGTCAATGAACATTGATAACGCCATTTAAGTCTTGTATGGAGTGATTTATTAATACCGAGTGTGGTCATATGAATAGATTCTTTCACAGTAAACAAGACAGATTCTCGTTGTTTAAGAGGATGCTTTTTGAACCATCACTAAGTGCGCGTTTGTTTAAACCAGAAAAAGTTCCACAAAGAGCTAATTATAATATCTAATAATCTCAGTAATTTCAACTTGAATAACATATTTTCTTTCAGCTAATACTCATGTCAAGAACTTAATTTTCTTTTCATTATGCTTAAGTATACTTCAAGTAAGGATGCAGCGAATGTTTTATTGGACTCAGAGCCAAACGTTGGAATGAATATAGAATTATATTTTGCACAAAGTTTTCCATTATATTCATTAACACGAAGATTTTCAATATATAGTCATTTCCTTAAATAAAACAATAGTTTTTGTTAAAAACATACTTGTCATCTATACATACAGCACGTACTT